CGGCGATCCTTCCGCCTCAGCCTTTCAAGTAGCTGGAACTACAGGCGCGCGCTACCATGCACAGCTAACTTCTGATTTATTGTAGAGATGAGGTCTTCCCAAGTTGACCGGGCGGGTCTCAAACCCACAGGCTCCGGCAGTTCACTCACCTAGGCCTCCCAAAGTGCTGGGATTATAGGCTGAGCCACCGCGCCCGGCTGCAATATTTTTAAAGTGTATGCAGAACAGTCCTCCAGGCTGAGTCTGGAGAGGAAGGGTGGAGGTTTACATGTACAGAATTAAAAGCAGCATGAAAGCACTCTGTTGCACGAAGCCCGGGGACCCTCCGGACCCAGTCCCCCAGCCCCCAGGGGCTCAGCCCGGTCCCCCGTGAGCTCCCCCCACCCCGCAGGGCTCCACCCGCGAGGCCGGGGTCCCCGCCGCGTCTCCCACCCGGTCCCTCCGAGGCGAGCGGAGGGAGCTGTGGCGCGGAAGCACTGTGCCCACCACTGGACGCCGACTCCAGGCAGCCGGGGCGGAGCGGACAGGAAGAGACGCCCCCCGGGGGTGGGAGGTGGCTGAGGGGCCCCGGAGGTGCACCCCACCGTGCCCGCAGCCGACCAGCCCAGCGTGGCTTGTCCTGGGCTCCCGCCCCGCGGGGCTCGCCTCTGGGGAGGCCAGGCGGCGCCTGCGGCCTTTGGAGCTCGGTGTGGCTCGGCTCCCGCCCAACGCTAGCCCTTCTCGGCCGCCGCCACTCCCCGGAGGCAGTGCCTGCGCGGGGTGACTCATCCCGCAATCTGGCCCCTGACTCACCGGGTCGCTTCCCTGCCAGTCCCGGAGCGCGGCGCCATCTCCCCCGACCTGGACTCTCCTGCGCAGAGGTCGCGCGTTCTGGTCCCTGCAGCTCCAGGCTGGGAAGACACAGGTGGAGCTCCGGCTCCAGCACCCTCCCACCCCCTCCCCCCAGGCCACCTTGCTGGAAGTCTTCAGCGAGTGACTCAGCTTCCCCGCCGTCCCACCCTCCGCCAACACTGTAAGCCCCTCTCAGCCTGCCATGTCCTCAGCGGACCCCTGACCCGTCAGATCCTACCCTGCACAATCTGAGAGCCACAGCCGCTCAACCATGACCCCCACTCCTAACCTCACCCCCCGGAGCCCTGAATTGCCCAGCTCCTGGTTCTTTGCATGTCCCTTTGATCTCTCCTGGTCTTTTCTGGCTCTTTTTTTTTTTCTATTTGCCCTAACATATTGACCTTTCCCGGGGTGGGAAGCGGGAGGGCCGCTCTCCCTGCAAAACTTCACCACGCCCAGGGGTTCAGCTATCACCGTTGGGCCCCCACATTAACATCAGGTGCCTGGATCTCCCTCCAGAGCCTTTCAAGCCATGCCAAAAAGGAACTTCCTTTTCTCCTCTGAAATCACTCTCCTTCCTGTTTTCCCAGTCTTGCTTGTTGTCACAACCTTTGCCTTGCTGGTCCAAGTCTGTAATCTGAGAGTTACACTAGATTTCGTTTTCCTGACCCACCCATCCGATCAACCCCAAGCCCTGCCCATCCTCCTTTTTAGACAGCTCTCCCATCCGTGTCTCCCCCACCACCCCACCCACTGCTACTGCCAAGGTTCACCTCTTGGCCTCCCTGCCTCCCGTCTGGCTCCCATCCTGTTTGTCCACACTGCTGCAGAGCAGTCTTTCCCATACGAAACTCTGCTGATGTGACCACCCAGCTCAGAATTCTTCAGAGTCTCTCTGCCCATAAGATGAAATAAAAACTTCTTGGTGTGACTTATTGCATATTAAGGTCCTTCACAGTTGCCCAGTCTAAATTGCATTATATTTCATGATACAGTAATAGTAAGCAAATATAATTTGCTTCCTCAAATGTACATACTTTGGCCCATTTCTCGGTCTCCTCATTTGGAATACCTTCCTGTGTGTCACCCAGTCAACTCATTCTCATTCTTCAGGTCTCAGCTCATGTTAGGAACTCTGTGACACCTTTCTTGATTCCCCCAGACTTATTGTTGCTACTTCTACCCTTATGCTTCATGCCATCACAGCACATATCACATTGTATTTCATGTGTTTGCATACCTGTCTGGTTCCTTGAGCCCAGGGATTGTGTCTCTTGTCTTCATACTGTCTGCCCCTATGTAGCTTCTGGCGTATAATGAGTGCCCAATAAAAGTTTGTGGAATGAATGAAACAATTAATGACACCACAGTCAGTGAGTCATTGTTACTTCACCAATGCTAGGTAGTTCATGTAACAAAGTTATCAAAGCTGATAAGCAAAAGTCAAGTTATCCAAAGAAAATCATTGTCAGTGATATAAAGGACTTTGCCTGTCAAGTTGCTTAGATAACTGAAAGGCAAAGACCTCTCCCATAGTCCTTGTGAAGATCTTGTGTTGCCTTTGGGAGTAGGGATTGCCTTGGGGAAGAAAAGAAAGTGTATGTATAGGGGTGATGTTTAGAGTGGGAGAAGTCATACAGGAAGGGGGCAGTGATGACCAGAGGATAGTGCTCCTCACTCAATCCTAGCGGCTTTATCTGTGGGGCTCAGAACAGATATCTATCTTCTTGATAAGGGTCTGTGGTTCTCTACTTCAGGGTGAGGTAGGCATACAGAACGTTAACTGCCTACTTTTGTTTAAAAAGAATGAAAGTGTTCTGAACACCTTTCACCAAGTAGGAATAATGAAAGTACCTATCTCATGCCCTCTTTTGCTTTAATTCTGTAATACCCAAGCCTGCATTTTGGAATTAAATCCCTTGCCCTTTGTGGTTTTCCAAGTGGGTGTTCAAGCGTATCCCTTTGATGCTGGGTGGAACGAGGTGTGTTACTCCATGGGTTCTTGCCTCCACCAAAGAAAAATATTTCAGAGTGAGCCTAAAGTATAGTTTAAGATAGGATTTATTAGAAAGAAAAGACATGCTCATGAGGGATCACGGGTGTCTTAAAAGAAAGGACACCCTGACCTGTTGTTAACTGAATATTTTATGTATTTTCTTAGTGAAGATTAAGAAACCTATTTATTAAGCTGATTTGTGTGCTATGTGGTGGGTTACAATCTATCGATCACAAGTCCCTAATCTTATCATCTACGTCTGAGCTTACTTGCATCCTGTGAAAACTTAAAAGTTACTGTTTTACAATTTTAATTAAGTTTTTTTCTTGAAAACACCATTCCCTGGGTCACTGGTATTGTTCTAGACAGTTATGACCTAAAAATATGAAGTCCAACTGGGTGCATGACCATCTGGTGTTTTAATTAAGCTATGCCTGACTGTAAGAAACTTATCTATATATCTTTATTCTAGCTACCCTGCCTCACCTTTAAGGAGAGTGTTAAGTTTAACAAAGGTGGTATGCTTCTAGGTCTCCAAGTTCACCTTACCATAACTCAAGTCACAATTTCAGCCCCTGTCTCCCAGAGCACCCCCAGTGCCAGGTAGCAGGATCCGGGGGGTGTGTTCACTTCAGCACCAGCCACAGACTGACTAAAGTTGGCCCTGATCTCTGATCTCAGGATCACTGAGCCCTGTTCTCAAACATTTTTGTTTGTTTGCTTGTTTTCTTAGTTTTAGGAGCTTGTTGTTACAGGACCCCAGTCGCTATGACTCTCTGGTCAAGCCTAATAGGTCTCTAACTTGGCAATTTAAGGAGCAGTTTCCCTGAGCTTCTCATGCAAACTGGCCCAGCTCCCTTCAGCATTTCGCAAAGACCTGGGTGGGACCTTAGGGGACCCAAAGTCAGCTGTGGCCTGTTCCAACACAGTGTGGACCCACCCACCTTTCTCTTCACTTGCACCTTGAAATGGATCACCCAAGTGATTACAGACCAGATAAAAAGATGGACCTCTCTTGTTATGGAAAAAGAAAGAGATACAAAGACAGAGAGAGAGAGAGAGAGAGAGAGAAACTCTATTTTGTCCTTTAACTATTTCTTAATTTCTTGTAACCAGGGATATTTTTTTAAATCTCCAGAGTAATAAGAGTTCTAAAATTTAACACAGATATTAAATATGAGAGTTCAATCTTGTCAAGCAGAAAAGGTGTGACAGCTTTCCTCATCCATCTAAGGGTCACAGCTAACACTCCTGCAGCAAAAGACACATTCCTCCTTCCAGTGCACACCAGGCTCTGAGCAGCCCTTTCTCATTTTTCCCAGCAAAGTATCTTGAAAGAGTTTTCTAAGGTGGTTGTCTCCCTGTGTCTCTTTCCAGGCCTGAATCTCACTCAGTTTGGTTCATCCTGTCTATTGTCCCTGGTGGGAATGACAAGTGACTTTTTCAAATCGATCTCTCCTTCCCCTTGGCACCAACTGCAGGTGCTGTGACCTGGTTCTCCATTGCTGTGTTTCTCCTCTGTCTACTCCTCTGTCTTCTTTGCTATGTACTCTTTACCAGCAGTCTCTTTGTTGTTGTTGTTGTTGTTGGAGTCTTACTCTGTTGTCCAGGCTGGAGTGCAGTGGCATGCTCATGGCCACTACAGCCTCGACCTGCTGGGGTCAGGCGATGGATGTTTCCACCTCAGTCTTGCAAGTAACTGGAACTACAGGCATGAGCCACCACACCCAGCTAATTTTTTGGATATATTGTAGAGATGAGGTCTCGCCAAGTTGCTCAGACTGGTCTTAAACCCCTGGACTCAGACGATCCTCCCGCCTCCACCTCCCAAAGTGCTGGGCTTATAGGCAAGAGCAACTGCACCTGGCTTCAGCTGTCTCTTAAAACTATGGTTGGCAACTCATCTTTGACAAAGCCACCAATAACAAACATTGGGGAAAAGAAACCATATTTAGCAAATGGTGCTGGGAAAACTGGTTTGCCACCTGCAGTAGAATGAAACTGGACTCAACTTATCACTATACACAAAATTAACCCAAAATGGATCAAGGGCTTAAATGCAAGCCCTTAAAATCTAAGAATCTTAGAAGAAAATGTAGGAACACCCTAACTCAGAGTAGGCAATTAATTCATGGCCAAGTCCTCAAAAGCAAATGCAACAAAAGCTAAGACAGACAGGTGGAAACTTATCAAACTGAAAAGTTTTTGCACAGCAAAAGAAACCATCAAGACAGTAAACAGAAAACCCACAGAATACGAAAAAAATATTTGCAAGCTATGCATCTGACAAAGGACTAACATTCAAGATCTACAAGAAACTCAAATAAATTGACAGGAAAAAACAAACAACCCCATTAAAAAGTGGGCAAAGGACATGAGCAGACACTTCTCAAAGGCAGACATTCAAGCAGTCAACAAACACATGAAAAGAATACTCAGCTTCACTGATCATCTGAGAAATGCAAATCTAAACTACAATGAGATAGCACCTACCTCCAGTAAGGATAGCTAGCATTAAAAAAATCAAAAAACAGCAGGTGCTGTCACCGTTGCAGAGAAAAGGGAATGAACGCTTCTACACTGTTGGTGGAAATGTAAGCTTAAAGAACTAAAATTGAGCTTCCATACAATCCAGCAATCCAGTGGAAATATACCCATAGGAACATAAATCACTCCACCAAAAAGACACCTGCACACATATGTTTATTGTAATGCTATTCAAAAACATGGAACTGCTGGGCACAGTGGCTCATGCTTGTAATCCCAGCACTTTGGAAGGCAGAGGTAAGAGGATTGCTTGAGTCCAGGGGTTCAAGACCAGCCTGGTCAACTTGGGGAGACCTCATCTCTACAATAAGTCAAAAAATTAGCCGGGTGTGGTGACGCACATCTGTAGTTCCAGCTGCTTGGAAAGCTGAAGTGGAAGGATCGCCTGAGTCCAGCAGGTCGAGGCTGCAGTGGCCGTGAGCATGCCACTGCACTCCAGTCTGGACAACAGAGTGAGACTCCTATTCAAAACAAAC